AGTAATGGAGAATCAAGTGGTATAAGCAAAACGTGAAGTGAAAGTCTTCAAAAGACAGAAGAGCTAGAGTTATTGGGTTTTGGGTAAACTAGCTTTCCAAATAACTAAACAACCTGTATCCTTACTACTTATAAATACCTAGATGCAAAGATGTCACTTTCCCCCCAGAAAGTCCAAAACAAAACAAAAAACGGACGCTGAGAGAAACTCACTGCAAACCTAGTCAACAGAACTTTCTGGAACAAGGAAGTCAGATAGCAAAATGCAACAACTAACACAGCATGCAAATCAGTTCTGAAGAATACATAAACACTAACACATATTGCTACCTAAAATACTGAAGATTGCCATTTATTTTCACCCTTGACACATATCAGATTTAATCATCGTTTTCCAGCTGCCAGACTCGATGTGTACACTATTCATGCTGGATTGTCTGACTACAGCAAACTCATATTTATGCAACATTTCTCAGAGTGGTGCTTAGAGGTAGAATGCTTATCGCTAAGAACTGTCTGGGAAACTGTTCAGAGGTTGTCAGAAATCCCAACAACCCAATACACATGCCAATTTCTTGACATGTTATTATGTAATTTCCATTATATTGTGGTGATCTGTCATCTCAGGCACAGGCTCTGTGAACTGGAAAATGCTAAAACTCAGGTAGTATAATTCATACAGTAAAATTCATACAGTAACAAAAAAGGCTGCACAGTGTTAAAATGCATTGAAAAACTATATTAATAGTTGCAGAAATCCACAGTATTATTTATTGTGATTTAATATGTTTGTTCAAACATAGTCCTGGCAAATTTTGATTCTGAAAAGAAAATGGCTAATATGATACTAAAATGCATTCAAAATAAGTAACAGAAAACATATATAATATAGATAAAATTCCTTTACAACTGGTATCCACTACTCGTGCACAATCTAATAAGTGTTCAATCCTTGGGTGCCAGGATATTACTTTCTCCCCAGAAAGTATAAAAAATCAAAAGTCCTTCACAACGTCCACATGGTGAATATCCCCTACAATCATATGCAAACTCTCCTTCTTCTTTTTCAATATCCTTCAGTGTGCAATTCTTACATCAAAATCTTCATCATCAACTTGGTACCCTCAAAAAAATGCATATAGACACACATAGTGCATTATCCTTAATACACTCACAACTAAAATCAGCATCAGCGTTTGCTCTCTCTAGACCTCATCAGAGATGTCCACCACGCAACTTCCAGTCTACGTTTGATGTCAAAGGATCCTTTGATAGAGTTGGAAATGACAAAACGCGTTAGAAAGTGACATCAGACATAGACCAGAAGTTGCGTGAGGTCTTTGATGAGGTCTAGAGAGAGCAAACGCTGATGCTGATTTTTGGATGAGGAACAAATGCTGATGTGTACTATTTTGTATGTAAGCGCTTTTTTACTTGAATAAATCGTTGGTTTTAAAATGTAATGCACTATGTATGCTTATCTATTCTGACCTACAGTTGCAAGAAAAAGTATGTGAACCCCTTGGGATTACGTGGAGTTTTTTTGCATGAATTGGGCATAAAATGTGCTCTGAACGTCATCTAAGTCACAACAATAGAAGAACACAGTCTGCTGAACATAATAAATACACAAACATTAGATGTTGCCATGGTTTAATTGCACATAACATGTAAATATTCACAGTGCAGGGAGGAAAAAGTATGTGAGGCCCTAGCTTAATGACTTCTCCCAGAGCTAATTGGAGCCAGGAGTGAGCCAACCTTGACTCCAATCAGTGTGATGATATTGGATGTGTCGCTGACAGTTGTCCTGCCCTTAAAAAACACACACCTGTTTTGGGTTTACTGGTTTCAAGAAGCACTGTCTGATGTGAACCACGCCTCGCAGAAAAGAGCTCTCAGAAGACCTACGATCAAGAATTGTTGACTTGCATGAAGCTGGAAAGGGTTACAAAAGTATCTCCAAAAGTCTTGATGTTCATTTGTCCATGGTAAGACAGACTGTCTACAAATGGAGAAAGTTTAGCACTGTTGCTACTCTCCCTAGGCGTGGTCGTCCTGTAAAAATGACTGCAAGAGCACAGTGCAGAATGCTGCATGAGGTAAAGAAGAATCCCAGAGTGTCAGCTAAAGACCTACAGAAATCTCTGGCACATGCTAACATTTTTGTTGACACATCTACAATAAGGAAAACATTAAACAAGAATGGAGTACATTGGAGGACACCACTGAGGAAGCCATTGCTGTCCAAAAAGAATATTGCAGCACGTTTGAAGTTTGCAAAAGAGCACCTGGATGTTCCACAGCACTACTGGCAAAATATACTGTGGACAGATGAAACCAAGATTGAGTTGTTTGGGAAGAACACACAACACTATGTGTGGAGAAAAAAAAGGCACAGCACACCAACATCAAAACCTCATCCCCACTGTAAAACATGGCGGAGGGAGCATCATGGTTTGGGGCTGCTTTGCTGCCTCAGGGCCTGGACGGATTGTTGTCATTAATAGGAATAAAGTGCAACAGCGCTAGGTGTCTAATAATCATTCAGATAGATATATAAATATATGGATTAGTAAATTGATTAGTTGAGCTGCTGGCATAGAAAGTGAACCTCAAAAAAACAACTTCAGGTAGTATATCATGGAAATATGCAGCGCTCATAAATTAGAAATTAACCAGATCCCATATGTTAGAGAAACCTGATCACATATAGTAGATATAGATTAGATAAAATTCATGATAAAAATAAACCATAAAGGTAGACATAATAAACCGGTGACTTCTGTGCATCCAGGGTTGGGAAACCATAGAAAAAGTTTGTGACTCTTGTGTTGAAAAATCGAGAATAGCTTGCACTAACCAGATGTCTCAGCACATGGAGCATGGAGTAATTAAGACCTACTCCTGGTACTCTGAAAAAAGGCCACTGGAAAGGATGATGTCATCTGATCTCTCGCCACTAGATGTCATGTTCCCAGGACAGCAGGACGGTGATCACGGAGATATACATCAGCCAAAAGGGAGAAATTAATCCAGCAAACCAGCCAGCAGCACCCAGGAGACCAGGAGGGACCGAGCACCTTCAAAAAGCTCGGGCTCCCTCCAGAAAAGAGAGCCACAGGCCAGAAGCTTTGATAGTGTAGTAATGTATTTAATTCAATGGAAATTTCAATAGTAGAGAAACACACTTACAAATAAAGAATCACAGGAACATGGGGCAGTAAATAGGTATGTCCAGACAGTTGGGGGGCACCTCTCTGATGCGTTTCGTGTCACACACACGTTTTCAAAGCCCTTTGAAAACGTGTGTGTGACACGAAACGCGTCAGAGAGGTGCCCCCCAACTGTCTGGACATACCTATTTACTGCCCCATGTTCCTGTGATTCTTTATTTGTAAGTGTGTTTCTCTACTATTGAAATTTCCATTGAATTAAATACATTACTACACTATCAAAGCTTCTGGCCTGTGGCTCTCTTTTCTGGAGGGAGCCCGGGCTTTTTGAAGGTGCTCGGTCCCTCCTGGTCTCCTGGGTGCTGCTGGCTGGTTTGCTGGATTAATTTCTCCCTTTTGGCTGATGTATATCTCCGTGATCACCGTCCTGCTGTCCTGGGAACATGACATCTAGTGGCGAGAGATCAGATGACATCATCCTTTCCAGTGGCCTTTTTTCAGAGTACCAGGAGTAGGTCTTAATTACTCCATGCTCCATGTGCTGAGACATCTGGTTAGTGCAAGCTATTCTCGATTTTTCAACACAAGAGTCACAAACTTTTTCTATGGTTTCCCAACCCTGGATGCACAGAAGTCACCGGTTTATTATGTCTACCTTTATGGTTTATTTTTATCATGAATTTTATCTAATCTATATCTACTATATGTGATCAGGTTTCTCTAACATATGGGATCTGATTGTTTGTCATTGATGGGAAAATGAATTCCAGAGTTTTATCAAGACATTTTGCAGGAAAACCTATGACCATCTGTCCGCCAACTGAAGCTCCGCAGAGGATGGTGATGCAACAGGACAATGACCCAAACCATACAAGTAATTCAACAAAACAATGGCTGCAACAGCACAGAATATGCCTTCTGGAGTGGCCCAGTCAGAGTCCTGACCTCAACCCCATTGAAATGCTGTGGCATGACCTTAAGAGAGCAATTCACACCAGACATCCCAAGAATATTGCTACACTGAAACAATTTTGTGAAGAGGAGTGGTCCAAAATTACTCCAGATCGTTGTGCAGGTCTGATCTGCAACTACAGGAAACGTTTGGTTGAGGTTATTGCTGCCAAAGGAGGGTCAACCAAAGGTTCACATACTTTTTCCTCCCTGCACTGTGAATGTTTACATGTTATGTGCAATTAAACCATGGCAACATCTAATGTTTGTGTAGTATTATGTTCAGCAGACTGTGTTCTTCTATTGTTGTGACTTAGATGACGTTCAGAGCACATTTTTATGCCCAATTCATGCAAAACTCCACGTAATCCCAAGGGGTTCACATACTTTTTCTTGCAACTGTACATATCATTACCATTGGAAAACCGGGAATAATGTTGGTCAAGAAGAGTTGTTTCTTTCCTATGCTATCTGACTGATTTAGTCCAGAAAGGTGCATGGTCTGTGAGGTGGTGGAGTGGTTCTATCACTTTTCACCGGTGGTTACAATTGAATGAAGAGTGGAGCACAGGAGGACACAATATTGAGATATTGATATATATGTTATATAACTTTCTCCAGAGGGTATATCTCCTGTGAAGGGGAGGACGGAAAGAGGAAGTTGTAAATTGAAGATAATTGTCTGTGGAACTTGATGATAATCACATACAGCAACACTATTCATGTGGTTTTATATATATATATATATATATATACACACACATACACAGACACACTATACTGCCAAAAGTATTGGGACACCTCTGCAAATCATTGGATTCAGGTGTTCCAATCACCTCCATGGCCACAGGTGTATAAAATCAAGCGCCTAGGCATGCAGACTGCTTCTACAAACATTTGTGAAAGAATGGGTCACTCTCAAGAGCTCAGTGAATTATGGCGTGGTACCGTGATAGGTTGCCACCTGTGCAATAAGTCCATCCGTGAAATTTCCTTGCTACTAAATATTCCACGATCAACTGTTAGTGGTATTATAACAAAGTGGAAGCAACTGGGAACAACATCAACTCAGCCACGAAGTAGTAGGCCATGTAAAATGACAGAGTGGGGTCAGCGCATGCTGAAGCTCACAGTGCGCAGAAGTCACCAACTGACTGCAGAGTCAATAGCTAAAGACCTCCAAACATTGTGTGGCCTTCAGATTAGCACAACAGTGCGTAGAAAGCTTCATGGAGCTTCATTCGTGCAATGCAAAGCATTGGATGCAGTGGTGTAAAGCACACCACCACTGGACTCTAGAGCAGTGGAGACGTGTTCTCTGGAGTGATGAATCACGCTTCTCTGCTACTGCGACTAACATAATGTTGGATAAACCTTTCAGAGAGAGATTAATAGAAATATTTGTAATCAAAACATCTATTAGTCGATTTAACAGGAAGTGATGAAAAACAAAACAATTTTGTTTTTAGTTCTACTTTAAAACATAATTGTTAACTTGAACTGCAACCCACACAAGCAGTAAAATATGAGGAGAGTAAAGGAGGGGAGGGGGGGAAGTAAGAAGAAAACAATTTTGTTTTTAGTTCTCTACTTTAACTTAACTTGACTGCAAACCACACAAGCATTGTAAAATATGAGGAGAGTAAAGGAGGGGAGGGGAAAGCAAAAGTAAGATTAGAGATGAAGGTGTTTAGTCACCACAGTTGCTGTCAAGACAGTCTAGTTGAAGATACTGCACTGGATTCAAGATCTGGGAGAGCATTGTTGTGGGTTACCGGCCTCAGATCTAGGGTGTTTACAAGGAACTTCCTTCCAAGTCAGCTGGACAAAAATATCTAATAAATCCAGATGACTGGACCATCCTGGAAGTGGTGGTAGTTGGATATCTAGCACCAGACAGAAGTTCTTAACTTCTATCTTAAAAGCGTAATACAGATCTGTCTGCTTTGCAGGCAAAAAAAGGAAAAAGGGGTATCCTATTGGTATGTTGCTCCCTGGTTATGCACAATGAAAACTGTGGCTTTGTGTAACTAAAAGGCAAGCTTGTTCCCCCTGCTGGCTTGTATATAGGTTTTTGGGCACTTTTTAGACATTTTACCAAGGCACCCCTGAAGAAATCTCAAGGCACCCCAGGGTGCCTGGGCACCCTGGTTGAGAAAGGCTGTCTTAAGGCACCCATCCATGAGAGAGGAGATAATATATATTAGCATTGGTATACTGTTTGTGTATGTAATGTAAACCATTGGCCAAGAAAGTATACATTGCTTATATATTTCCATTGTTTAGAGGATCTCTACAGCAGGACATCATCAAACAATTCTCCTTTTTGACATACATTAGCTGTCCTATGGCACATATAGTACTTTGCTATTATCTTGAGTTTGCAGGCAGAAATGCTTCTCTCATAGAAATGTATGTAAGATGCCTGTTGATAGAGTTATGCTCATGTGGGAATGGCTACAAACATGCTCCACTACAAGATAGAGAGACTACCAATTTGATGAAACCGTTTTCTTGCAATTCCTTAAATGCCAGCAGTTTTATTCACTAAGAAACCATGGACCAGCTATAATAATAGCTTAGTGACTTTTAGTATATAATCTCTTCATCTTCTATATTAATATTTTTTTTAAATAAAAAGATTGTTTACAAATATTCAGATATAATTACTTTCTTGTAAAAAATAGATGACTTTGTTGTTATTTCTATGTATTCAATGTATATTTGTAAAAACATTTTACAACAGTTTAACATTGAAAGTAAGACCAGAAACAACTCACTCAATGCAAATAAAATTACATATCAAAATATGTTTCTTTTTCTGTTATCTTCCCTTTGATTACTGCCAAGAAATATAGCCAGAAGAGAAGTGCTGTAGAAATCCCTGGATACTATCCATCAAGTGAACAGAAAGAACAACAATAACAGAGCTCTGGGAGAATTACAAGTGGATTTTGTATTTAAACGAGAGCAAATCTTCTGTCACTCCATAAATAGGTCCCAATTCACCCATCAGAAACCTAGGAGAGCCATTAGATGAATCATACTGCAAAATTGCCTCAAGTCTAAATGGAAAATTGCTATTTTTGAGGCAAATCAGATCTGAGGTGCAGTTAAAATAAATGTTAAAATGTACATGTAGCGCTCATCCCTGAAGGGGCCGCTAAAGATAGACAGGTTCTTCTGAATAGTACAGAGGCTGCCAGTCACACCCAAGCAACATTCCTACACACACCAGCAATCAATACTAGGAGAGGGTTTTAGGGTCACTGAAGACCCCAAAACAATCAGTAATCACAGTAGAAGGACAACCTTCCCTCTGATGTTCCCCAAGAACAGTTTTTATGGGGTTTTGCAGGGAATGGCTAGAATGTCAACTGTCCTGCAACAGCTTTCCATAGGCAACGTCCAGCAACTGGTTTCCCTCTGGCACTTGCCCAACTATTAGTCCCAGTGAAGTATTTATTTACAGTGTCCCAGTCACCCAGCATCCTCAGGTAAATCCTCTGTTACAGTTCAGGACTCAGGGACAGTTCCATTCATCAAGGCAATTCTTTTCAGGCCCTCAGCCAAACAACCATTGAGGCTCAATCAGCAATCTCTTGTCTCTCTGGCTATTTCCCTGATGAGGAAAGAACAATCTGCTCAGACTTCCTGCACATTAATCACCTCCCCAAACACCTTCTGACTGCCCCCTTCCAGGGATTGGTCAGGCCATGATAACTATTCAGCTGATCATTTGAATCTCCCTCCCTATGCTCTGGAAGCTTCTTCTTGGGGGCAAGGGGAAGCAATCAAACTCTCAGATCTGGAAACCTGATCAGATGCAACTAATCAACAATCATTCCACTGATTACAGTGGAGCCAAAAACTAAATCTACCTAGCAGCTTAATTAGTAGGGTGCTACATACAAGTAACCTAATGTGGCTCGGGCTGAACAAAAAAAAAACTTAAAGTATGTGAATGAGGTTTAAGGCAGGCTAACTACAAAACAATACTGCTCCAGCACAGACAGACGGCAAGTTAATTTTTCATTTCCAGACCCAACTTCCTCTTTCTAAGTCTGATTCCTACTCTCTCTACCTTGTAATATGCTCTGTCTACATTTTCTTTTCACTAAAGTGTTCTTGTTTCATTAATTCTATTTCCTTTTTTCCTTTTCTCCTCCCCACATGTTACTTACAGTATATCACTGTCAGGAATGGACTCAGCACTGGTAGTGGGACTCATCTGCCGTGTGGGCTGCAGTACCAGAGCTGACCAGCGGGTGCTCTCAGCAGCCAGAAGCTCACACGTGCAATCAGCCAAACCTGGGGCTGATTGCAGAAAGGTGTATTTAAGGCATGACCAGGCCTGTGATCTGGGCCTTGGTGTATGGTTTCCCATGAGCCTCTGTACCTGGTATCTTGTGTTCCTGCTTTGTTGCTGACCCGGCTTGATCCTGACCTTTGCTGACCGTCTCCTGTTGAACCCCTGGCTTGCCTGACCATCCTTCTGCCTGATCCCCTGTACCGCGCTGCCCGTGAGTTACTGAACCCGGCTTGTGACCTTGACCATTCTCTGCCTGCTCCTTTGGTACCTTGCTGCTTGCACGTTGCTGACTTGGCCCGTTCTGACCACGCTAACTACTCTGCCAATCCATCCATCCTGCACGGATCCAGCTGTACCTGCACATACCTCTGGCGGATCCCTCTACCACTAGCAGGTGTACTCAGGGGCCGCGACCTGGTTCCTGTCTGCTCCAAGTCCATCCCCACCATCAGGGGCCCTGGTGAATAAGCAGACTGGGACTTAGACTCCGCGCCCTGGGGAATCCTGTCCCTGGGGACCACTAGAGGTACCACCAAACGGTCATTACAGAAACCCTACGGCCGGCCTGACCGTTCCACTTCTCCAGCCCTGACTACGCCTGTGTTCCTGCACCTACTAAGATTAGTGGAAGGTTGGTTTGTTCACTGTGCGTTTATAAATATATATATATATATTTGGGTGGCTAATAAATAAACTGTATTATTATACTATACCTGAAACCTGCGTTTCCCACTGTGTCAGTCCACACCTTTCTGGTCATTCCTAGATTCCTGAACATCACACCAAGGCCTTTCCTGACCAGAAGTGGCTGCACAGGGAAGCCATCTTGACTTGTTGTGAAGGATGCATCCTGATGAGGTTATATATTTGTCTATGTTAGTCTTTGATGACAGAGAATATGCCTATCAGACTCTGCGGGAGTATACCAGGGATCAGCTGCTAGAGTGCAATACGGGTCGCTCATTCCCTAGTAGGTCAGGTCCTAGAGCTCTCTGAGGTGCAACCATTGATTCAGGCTTGTGTTGAGTTGGCTTCATCTAGTACCCTGAAAGCAGGGATGAATTCCTTCCTCCATTCAGGGTGAGTCAAATAATATCACTGGTATGGTTGTTGGAGGATGATCCGGATTGCTTCTTGGAGCATTATTCAGCATGTTCACCACATGTGCTAAAAGAAGTGTATAAACGCAGTGCAATCTTTGACCAGACAGGCCTTGTGTAAGCTGAGCGTTGTCCAACCCTTACTGCAGACATGGTCAGACTTGTTACACCCAGCCTCAATCAGCTTGCAACGAACCAGTCCTGTTTCTCATCATTCCTCTGCTCAAAGCTCTTTTCCTGCATTCCCGACAGCACCCCAGTGACAGCCCAGTATACCCTGCTATCTACCACATGTCAGTACCCTGCTCCCACTCGCTGTACCATCGTGCCAGTCGACTCGGTGCCAGTTGATTCGGTGCCCGCTGTCGTGCCAGTTGACTTGGTGCCCGCTGTCATACCAGTTGACTCGGTGCCAGTTGGACTCGGTGCCCGCTGTTGAGCCAGATGACTTGATGCCTGATGATTCGGTGCCCGCTGTCGTGCCCGTTGACTTGGTGCCCGCTGTTGTACAGTTGACTCGGTTGCCACTGTCATGCCAGTTGACTCGGTGCCCGCTGTCATGCCAGTTGACTCGGTGCCAGTTGACTCGGTGCCCGATGTCGAGCCTGATGACTTGATGCCTGATGATTCGGTGCCCGCTGTCGAGCCAGTTGACTTGGTGCCCGATAGCGGCGCTGACGAGCTAGATGACTTGATGCCTGATGAGTCGGTGCCCGCTGTCGTGCCGGTTGACTTGGTGCCCGCTGTTTCGTACCAGTTGACTCGGTGCCAGTTGACTCGGTGCCCACTGTCGTGCCAGTTGACTTGGTGCCCGTTGTTGAGCCGGATGACTTGATGCCTGATGACTCGGTGCCCGCTGTCGTGCCAGTTGACTTGGTGCCCGCTGTCGAGCCAGATGACCTGATGCCCCGAGGACCCCAGTGCCCGCTGTTGAGCCATGACCTGATGCCTGATGACTTGGTGCCCGCTCGTGTCGTGCCAGTTGATTCAGTGCCCACTGTTGTGCCAGTTAATTTGGTGCCTGCTGTCGAGCTTGGTGACCCGGTACCCGCGGTTCTGCTAGATGGCTCGGTGCCCGCTGACATGCCGGTGACTCGGTGCCCGCTGACTTGCCAGGTGTGACTCTGTGCCTGCGGTTCTTCTGCTAGATGGCTCGGTCCCCGCTGACATGCCCGGTGACTCGGTGCCCGCTGACTTGCCAGGTGACTCTGTGCCTGCGGTTCTGCTAGATGGCTCGGTGCCCGCTGTCGTGCCCGGTGACTCGGTGCCCGCTGTCGTGCCAGATGACTCAGTGCCCGCTGACGTGCCTCTGCCCGCTGCACAGCCCGACATGCCAGCCCCTGATGTCCAGCTAAACTGGCCAATAAACTGATTCCCAGCCTGCTCCTGGAAATCCTGTGCCCAGTGACCTGCCTTCCTGGGTTCTCCTACACAAAGAGAAGTCTAACCAGCAGGAAACCCAGCCAGCCGGTTTTCTCCGGCAGTTGGATATTCAGCCAGTTACCTGACCAGGCGGTGGAACATTTTGCCCACTAAGGACTGTCTGGAGCGTCCTGAGGCCGCTCCTTGAGGGGGGGGTACTGTCAGGAATGGACTCAGCACTGGTGGTGGGACTCATCTGCCGTGTGGGCTGCAGTACCAGAGCTGACCAGCGGGTGCTGTCAGGGCTCCCAGGTATGACCAGAGGTGTGTGACTGAAGCAGGGAAATGCAGACTTCAGATATGTGATTAACAATGTAATTTATTAACACTAACAATACAAACATAAACGCAGTGCAATACTAAACATAATTTACAGTGCAAAACAAACCCAACCAACCACCCACAGATAACAGTACATACAAGCAAGCGCGTCAGGCAGGCGAGTCAATATCAATTGGGCAGGTAGGTACAGGGGGAGAAAGCGGAGAATGGTCGGGGGAGGGTCACAGGCCAGGTTCAGCAGGTAGCACAGCAGCGTAATACAGAGGGTCAGGCAGAGGGATGGTCAGGGTCACAAGGGCCAGGGATCAGAACAGGTAGCAAGCAGCGTAGTACAGAGGGTCAGGCAGAGGGATGGTCAGGGTCACAAGCCAGGATCAGCGAACAGGTAGCAAAGGAACAGAAACAGGATGCCAGGACAGATACATGGGCCCTAGGACAAACACAACACCAAGGCAGAGTCTGCAACAAGAAAAAAAAAAAAAAAAAAAAAAAAAAAAAAAAAAAAAAATGTCTGGCCATCCCTTAAATTACACCAGTATCATCAGTTCCAGGTGTTTAGCTGGCTGAAAGGTTGAGTCTCTGTATTGCTGGGCGAGCAAAAAACCCGCTGGCCAGCCCTGGTACTGCAGATCAAAAGGCAGGTGAGTCCCTAACCTCATTGCTGGCCAGTCACATTCCTGACAGTACCCCCCCTCAAGGAGAGCGGCCTCAGGACGCTCCAAACAGTCCTAGCTGGGAAAAATGTTTCCACCGCCCCGGGTCTGGTAACTGGCGGGATATCAAAGACTGGCACACCGGGCAGGACTCCGGGCAGCGGTACACCGGGCAGAGGCACATCGGGCTGGACTCCGGGCAGAGAGGTCACACGCCGGGCAGAGCCACACCGGGCAGAGGCACATCGGGGCTGGACTCGGGCAGAGGCACATTTTCTTAGGGCTGGACTCCGCTGACTCCGCAGCAGGCACATCGGGCTGGACTCCGGGCAGAGACACATCAGGGAGCTGGACTCCGGGCAGAGGCAACAATCGGGCTGGACTACCGGGCAGAGGCACATTGGGCAGGACTCCGGGCAGAGGCACATCGGGCAGGACTTCCGGGGCAGAGGCACATCGGGCAGGACTCCGGGCAGAGGCACATCGGGCAGGACGCGGGGCCCCGGGCAGAGGCACATCGGGCTACGTCAGGCGAAGCGGCAGGCAGCGGGCCACCGGGCATGCGGAGCGGCAGGCACCGCGGATGGCCCCCGGGCGGGGCGGACAGCGGCAGGCACCGGGCCCCCGGGCGGGGCGGCAACAGCACCGGGCCCCCGGGCGGGGCGACAGGGCCTCCTCGGGTCCCCCGGGCGGGGCTGACAGGCATCGGGCCCCCGGGGGGGCGACAGGCATCGGGCCCCGGGCGGGGCGACAGGCATCGAGGCCCCCGGGCGGTTAGCGACAGGCATCGGGCCCCCGGGACGGGTCGAATCTTACAGGCCTCGGGTTCCCAGGCGAGGGCGACAGCTGCATCGGGCCCCCAGGCGGGGCGACAGGCATCGGGCCCCCAGGCGGGGGGGAGACAGGCATCCGGGCCCCCAGGCGGGGCGACAGGCATCGGGCCCCCAGCGGGGCGACAGGGCATCGGGCCCCCAGGCGGGGAGACAGGCATCGGGCCCCCAGGGCGGGGCGGCGGGCGCCGGAACCCCCAGGCGGAAATACAGGCCCTCGGGCCCTCAGGCGGAGCGGCGGGCGCCAAAAGGACCCCCGGGTGGGAGCGACAGGTCTCGTGAGCCCTCAGGCGGGAGCAGCGGGCGGGCCGGACCCCACCAGGTGGAGCGACAGGCATCGTGCCCCCCTTGAGGCGGGGACGACAGGCATCGGGCCCCCAGGCGTTGGGCGACGAGTTCTTTTCATCGGGCCCCAGGCGGGGCGACAGGCATTCGGGACCCCCAGGCGGAGCGGCGGGCGCCGGACCCCCAGGCGGAACTACAGGTCTCGAGCCATGCTCAGGCGGAGCGGCGGGCGCCCGGACCCCCGGGTGGAGCGAGACAGGTCTCGGGCCCTCAGGCGGAGCGGCGGGCGCCGGGACCCCCAGGTGGAGCGCCAGGTACTCGGGCCCCAGGCGGAGCGACAGGGAAGCTCGGGCCCTCAGGGGAGCGGCGCGGCCGCCGGAACCCCCAGGTGGAGCGACAGGTCTCGGGGCCCTCAGGCGGAGCAGCGGGCGCCGGACCCCCAGGTGGAGCGACAGTTCTCTAGGGGCCTCAGGAGCGGAGCGGCGGGCGCCGGACACCCAGGTGGAGCGACAGGTCTCGGGCCCTCAGGCGGAGCGGCGGGCATCCAGACCCCCAAGCGGTTGCGACAGGTCTCGGGCCCTCAGGCGGAGCAACCAGGTTCGGGCCCCCAGGCGGGGCGGCGGGGCGCCGGACCCCAGGTGGAGCGACAGGTCTCGGGCCCCTCAGGCGGAGTGAGCGGGCGCCCAGACCCCCAAGCGGTGCGACAGGTCGCGGGCCCTTCATGGCGGGCGACATGGTCTCGGGCCCCCCAGGCGGGGCGGCGGGCGCCGGGGTCCCCCAGGTGGAGCGGCGGGCGCTGGACACCCCAGGCGGAGCTGACAGGTTCGGGCCCCCAGGCGGAGCAGCGGGCACCTGAGTCACCAGGCACGACAGTGGGCTCCGAGTCAACATGGCATGACCTGCTGGCACTAGGTCAGACAATGATATTTCGTCTGGCTGGACAGCGGGCATCGGGTCACCAGGCTTCAGGTCATTTGGCTCGACAGCGGGCACCGTGAGTCATCTGGCAAGGCAGTGGGCTCCGAGTCAACTGGTATGACCGCGGGCACTGGGTCAGACATTGGATCGTCTGACCGGACAGCGGGCATCGGTCACCAGGCATCAGGTCATTTGGCTCGACCGCGGGGCACCGCGTCATTCTGGCAAGGCAGTGGGCTCCGAGTCAACTGGTAATGACCCCGCGGGCAACTGGGGTCAGACATTGGATCGTCTGACTGGACAGCGGGGACATCGGGGTCACCAGGCATCAAGTCATTTGGCTTGACAGCGAGCACCGCGTCATCTGGCAAGGCAGTGGGTTCCGAGTCAACACTGGCATGACCAGCGGGCACTGGGGCTGACATTGAATCGTCTGGCTGGACAAGCGGGGCATCGGGTCACCAGGATCAGGTCATTTGTCTCGACAGCGGGCATCCGCGTCATTCTGGCAGGCAGTGGCTCCGATGTCAACAGGCACGACAGTGGGCACCGGGTCATCAGGTCATTACAACTGCCAGCGCATCGGGTCACCGGATCATGTCTGGCACTCGACAGCAGGGCATCGGGTCACCAGGTTTGACAGCGGGCACTGCCCGCGGTCCCTCAGGCAATCAGGTCATTTGGCTTGCCAGCGGGCACCGCGGGTCATCTGGCAAGAGCAGTGGGCACCGGGTCACCAGGCATTGGGATCGTCTGGCTTGACAGCGGGCCATCGGGTCACCAGGTATGACAGCGGGCACTGGGTCACCACTGGCATCAGGTCATTTGGCTCGCCAGCTGGGCACCGCGTCATCTGGCAAGGCAGTGGGCACCGTCGTCACCAGGTACGCCAATTCGGGCTCTGAGGCAATTGAAGCACGACAGCGGTGCACCGGATCAGGTTACCGGATCATCTGGATCAACAGCGGGCATCGAGTCAACTGGCCTAATAGGATCGTCAGGCTGGATCAGTTCATCATGCTGGGTAGAGGCATCAGGCTGAATCCCGGCGTCCGGCTGAGTAGAGGCTTCAGGCCGAGTAGAGGCTTCAGGCCGAGTAGAGGCTTCAGGCCGAGTAGAGGCATCAGGCCGAGTAGAGGCTTCAGGCCGAGTAGAGGCATCAGGCCGAGTAGAGGCTTCAGGCCGAGTAGGAGGCATCAGGCCGAGTAGAGGCATCAGGCCGAGTAGAGGCTTCAGGCCGAGTAGAGGCTTCAGGCCGAGTAGAGGCATCAGGCTGAAGAGAGGCATCAGGCTGCGTACCGGCATCAGGCTGAAGAGAGGCATCAGGCTGCATACAGGCATCAGGCTGAAGAGAGGCATCAGGCTGCATACAGGCATCAGGCTGAAGAGAGGCATCAGGCTGCGTACAGGCATCAGGCCGAGTACAGGCATCAGGCTGAGTAGAGGCTTCAGGCTGAGTAGAGGCTTCAGGCTGAGTAGAGGCTTCAGGCTGAACCACGGAAGGCAGGCTCACCGGTTTGGATACTGGCAGGATGGTATTAGGTTGGAAAGAATTTTTCGCTTTTTTCTGGTTTTAACTACTGGAGCACTGCAAGTAAACGCAGGTCTGCAAACGAATGGAGCAGCTGGAGACAGAGAAGAACTGGAGGATGGAACAGGAGAGGGAGCAGTTGCTACAGAGGGCTTTTTTACAGGGTTAAAGGCAGGATAGGTGCAGCGAGTGGGAACAGGGTACTGACATGCGCGTAGATAGCCAAGTATACTGGGCTGTAACTGGAGGAGCTGGTGGGAATACAGGAGTAGAGTTAGAAGCAGGACTGGGGTTTTTGTAAGCTGACTGAGGCTGGGTGCAACAAGTCTGTCCATGTCTGCAGTATGGGTTGAACAAAGCTGAGCTTACACCAAAGCCTGTCTGACCAATGACTGCACTGCGTTTATACAATCTCTTAGTGTCTGTGGTGAACATGTGGAATAACGCTCCAGAAAGTAACCCACATCATCCTCTAATAACCACACCAGGGACTCTACCTGGTCTGCACTAAATGGTGGCAAAAATTCATCCCTGCATTCGGGGGTACCAGATGAAACCAACTCTGCACAAACCTCAATCAAAGGCTGCACCTCAGAGAACTCTGTGCCCTGATCTACTAGAACATGAGCGAGCCGCGTATACATTCCAGCAGTTCATCCCGGGGTATACTCCTTCAGAGTTTGATAAGCATACTCCCTGTCCATCAAACACTAGCAGATATAAATACACAACCTCATCCAGATCCATCCTTCCCATCAACAAGCCAAGATGGCTTCCCTGTGCAGCCACTTCTGGTCAGGATTGGCCTTGGTGTAATGTCAGGGCTCCCAGGTATGACCAGAGGTGTGTGACTGAAGCAGGGAAACGCAGACTTCAGATATGTGATTAACAATGTAATTTATTAACACTAACAATACAAACATAAACGCAGTGCAATACTAAACATAATACAGTGCAAACAAACCCAACCAACCACCCACAGATAACAGTACATACAAGCAAGCGTCGTCAGGCAGGCCGAGTCAATATCAATTGGGCAGTAGGTACAGGGGGAGCAAGCGGAGAATGGTCGGGGTCACAGGCCAGGTTCAGCAGGTAGCAAGCAGCGTAGTACAGAGGGTCAGGCAGAGGGATGGTCAGGGTCACAAGCCAGGGATCAGAACAGGTAGCAAGCAGGTAGTACAGAGGGTCAGGCAGAGGGATGGTCAGGGTCACAAGCCAGGGATCAGAACAGGTAGCAAAGGAACAGAAACAGGATGCAGGACAGATACAGGGCCCAGGACAAACACAACACCAAGGCAGAGTCTGCAAGTCTGGCCATCCCTTAAATACACCAGTATCATCAGTTCCAGGTGTTAGCTGGCTGAAAGGTTGAGTCTCTGATTGCTGGGAGCACCCGCTGGCCAGCCCTGGTACTGCAGATCAAAAGGCAGGTGAGTCCCACCATTGCTGGCCAGTCCATTCCTGACAGGTGCTCTCAGCAGCCAGAAGCTCACACGTGCAATCAGCCAAACCTGGGGCTGATTGCAGAAAGGTGTATTTAAGGCATGACCAGGCCTGTGATCTGGGCCTTGGTGTATGGTTTCCCATGAGCCTCTGTACCTGGTATCTTGCGTTCCTGCTTTGTTGCTGACCCGGCTTGATCCTGACCTCTGCTGACCGTCTCCTGTTGAACCCCTGGCTTGCTGACCATCCTTCTGCCTGATCCCCTGTACCGCGCTGCCCGTGAGTTACTGAACCCAGCTTGTGACCTTGACCATTCTCTGCCTGCTCCTTTGGTACCTTGCTGCTCGCACGTTGCTGACTTGGCCCGTCTGACCACGCTAACTACTCTGCCATCCATCCATCCTGCACGGATCCAGCCGTACCTGCACATACCTCTGGTGGATCCCTCTCTACCACTAGCAGGTGTACTCAGGGGCCGCGACCTGGTTCCTGTCTGCTCCAAGTCCATCCCCACCATCAGGGGCCCTGGTGAATAAGCAGACTGGGACTTAGACTCCGCGCCCTGGGGAATCCTGTCCTGGGGACCACTAGAGGTACCACCAAACGGTTATTACAGAACCCTACGGCCGGCCTGACCGTTCCACCTCTCCAGCCCTGACTACGCCTGTGTTCCTGCACCTACTAAGATTAGTGGAAGGTTGGTTTGTTCACTGTGCATTTATATATATATATATATATATATATAATATATATATATATATATATCTGGGTGGCTAATAATAAACTGTATTATTATATAGCTATGTAACTTTACCCCTACAAACCCCATTCTTTCATCTCTCAGCAGCCGTAATTAATACAGTCTAATTTCTTCTCTCCTAATTCCAAGAACCAGCCCCTCATTTTTCATGTGCTCCCTGGAATGCCCATTCAGTCTGTAACAAGCTCTGTTTATGACCTTTTCATCAATTTTAAAGGGGTTGTAAAAGTTTTTTTTAATATTAAAATAAAACATATTATACTTTCCTGCACTGTGCAATGGTATTGCATAGACCAGCTCATAATCTCCTCTTCTAGGTTCCTCCACCGGTGCACTTGGCTCCTCCTATTCTCTGTATGTCATCATAAGAAGCCACTTCCTATGGTGGCACACCTGCGGGCTTTCTCCCGAGTCAGGCTGTGTGTGTCCATTGACAGCACAGCGAGGCTCAGTCCGCCCCCTGATCTCTCCTCACAGGATTTGATTAATCTATTTTTCTACTCTTCAGCTCACCCCTTCAGTCTCTTTGCACATCACTAATTTATCAACTGACATATCAGTATAGCTGACACACCACTTCCTATAACTCAATCTTTGATGAGCTCATAATATTTTCTCCCTGGTGAACCCTCCCCTGACTTTCAGAGCAAGATCAATAACATAACTTTCAGTCCCTCCCTTCATGCCAGGCTACTAGGTGTAATCCTGACTGACTTTTGCTTTCAGCCCCACATTCAATCACTGTCCAGATCGTTCTGCCTACACCCCTTCTTAACCAGTGACAGCACGAGCTACTAACTGTTCCTTTATAGAAAATATATGTTGAGAACAATCCCCTGCGCTTAAATGGATAAACCCTACCCTAAGCAGCTAAACACCTTACTTCAACCACAAAGTGCAAAAAAAAAAAAAAATAAATTGGTGTAGCGCTAAATAAATACTAACATGTGCATCACAATTATAAATGAATACTACTCATTAAACCGTATATACAAAAATAAATTATAAATATATAGGTGTTATATAATAAAGTGCAAACACTACAATAAATAAATATTGGATGATTCCCTCAACTTAGGGGATCAATAAAATGTGAACATGAAAAACACAGTGCAAGTGTACAAGCCACACTCAGTGAAAATAAATGTCCACTCCAAGTCCACACGCTGCACTTATAATATTGAATAGTGCTCCACAAAAATAAATCACGTGTAAATTCAGCCCAACGTGAACTGAATCCAGTGCCAAAACATGAATCCAGAAATAGCCAAAATGCCCCCTCACCTCCTTACAGTGACCACAAGGGCCAGCTCGCTTTTTAAGGGTAAGCCACACTTTCAGAGGGATATCCTCGTCACCACCAGATGGACCCTCCTGGATATTTCCACAGATCAGTAATCCTCTTAGGTTCTCCAATCCCCTGGTACTTAACTGGTCGTTCTCTCACAGAGGATCATATCAGAAACAAACAGAGATCCTCCATAGTGTAAATCAGTATTTTAATACTCCAATATCAAAAAAATACCCACTTACATGTAAAACAGCATAATCCAGCTTTTACCCATACTATGGGTGTATGTGCATGGTTCTGGGTGATCCAAGATGGTGGAATGATATGGCTATCATTTTGAAAAAAGATTTGGATGTATATATTTTTATCTACTTGGTTTTTATTGGTAATAAATAATAAAAAATATAATCAATAAAGTCTGATGATTAAAATGGTATAACTGTGACACACGCAGGGGGAAAAAACTGGTTTGCAAAAATTGGTAGCATAACCTTAACCACTTGACCTCGGAAGGTTTTACCCCCTTCATGACCAGAGTATTTGCTATGCAACACTGTACCTAAAATTAAATTTATTTAATTTATTCTCACACAAATAAAGCTTTCTTTTTGTGATGTTTATAGTGAATACTTGTGAGCTATTATGAATCGAGGTGTTCAATAAACAACATGTAATGAAATCTTTAAGTGTATGGGGTGCGCTGGCACTTACACTGACTCACTTAGCTAGTGTGTATAAATGAAAAAGAAAGAATGGCGCCGCGCTCCTATATAGTTGTATATACAGCTTATACTATTCAAGTGTATCAATATCAATGTCAATTATTGTGAATGGTGACTATATCACTAATCGCATAGATAATTTGCATAATGAATAATCCTAAGGTGATAGTGCCTTGATGGGTGCCATGGTGTCAATCCATGTTGCACCTCAATAGTGCTGTGTGCACTCTATACTATAAGTGCAAAAACATATACACATGTGCACGTGCTTATAATAGACAAATATAAATAAAAATACAAAGTCCTTCAAAGTTATAGTGCAAGTGAATATTCTATTCCTTCTTTCCGAGTGCTAGATGGTCTCCCTATATGCTCACCTCTATATTTGCCTGAATAGATCCAGGCAAATACGCTTGTTATCCTTCCAGGATAGATGAAAAGGGATGA